CCACTAAAATCTGTTCAGAGTCATATTTTCCGGTGACGGATGGATGCCTTGTCATTGATGTTGTTGTTAGACACCAACTCAGAGTGACCCTGTGCACAACAGAAGCAAACATGGTCCTGTGCCACTCTCAAAATTGTTATTATGTTCAAGCCCATCATTGTACCCATGATGTCAATCCATCTTGTGGGGTGGGGTCTTCCTCTTTTTGCTGCCCTTCTACTTTACCAGCCACGATGTCCTTCTCCAGGGACTGGTCTCTCCTGACCACACATCCAAAGTCGGTGAGATGAGTCTCACCCTCCTGGCTTCTAAGGAACATTCTGGCTGTGCTTCTTCCAAAACAGATTTGTTTGTGCTTGTGGCAGTCCATAATAATTTTCATATTCTTCGCCACCACCATAATCCAAATGCATCGATTTTTCCTCAGTCTTCCTTATTCAATGCTCAACTTTAACAGGCATAGGAAGCAATTGAAAATACCATGACTTGGGTCAGGTACACCTCCCCCAAGTTACATCTTTGCTTTACAACACTTGAAAGAGGTCTTGTGCAGCAGATTGACCCAATGCGATGCGTCACTTGATCTCTTGACTGCTGTTCCTATGAGCACTGATTGTGGGTGCAAGCCAGACAAAATCCTGGCTGACCCCACACCCTATAATCACGCATTTCTCTACAGACAGAAAGGCACAAAGATACACATTGACCGACAGCCACGCACTCACAAGACTCTGCCCTGCCTTTCCATTGTGATCTGACTCACCTAATCACCTTTATTACACTGCCAAGTTCATCTGGATAGAATGGGACAGAGTCTGGGCTCTAGACAGCAGTCCCCATTCTCTTCTCTGCCCCCAGGAATGCTGATCTTGGGGTTCTTGCTAATCACCCCCGGCTGCTTTGGCTTCTTTGAAGATTTGGCCAAGTGCTTTCAGGACCCCAATTATGAGTCCATCCTCCTCACAGCCCAGAAGGGGCTCCCCACCTCCCCACTGCGGAAGCGTGTGGTAGTCGTGGGAGCTGGCATGTCGGGCCTCGTAGCAGCCAAAGCCCTGCAGGACTCTGGTCACCAGGTAAGGAGGCTTTAGAGCAGCAGTTCTCAACTTGTGGGTCGTGGCCCCTTTGGGGGTAGAACGACCCTTTCAGAGGGGTCACCTGATTCATAACAATAGCAAAATTACAGTTATGAAGTAGCAACGAAAATAATTTTATGGTTGGGGGACACCGCAACATGAGGGGCTATATGAAAAGGTCACGGCATCAGGAAGGTTGAGAACCACTGCTTTAGAGGGACTTCAGTCATTTGCCTTTCAGCTTCCTTCTTTGGTTGCAAAAACAGTTTGATGGCCACTAACTCGTAGGCATTTATACATAACCCATTGGGCCTCTTAACACTTTCTTATTGTTCCTCAGAAATCTGGGTTTACCCCTGAGACTTGCCCTTAACTATGTCTTGTGCTTTAATGAAAACAAAGTCAAGAGGAGTTATTAAAGCAGGCAAGGACTAGCAGGTGATCTGTATCTTGCCCACCTGCAGACACAGGTGTATCTGTATCTTGTCTGTATCTTGCCCGTTACATCTGCAAGACTCTTAGAACATCCCCAGTTTGGTCATCCGGCACACAAGTGGGGGCTGAATGCTCGGAATTCCAGCCTAGAGAGCATGGGGCGGGGGGGAGAGTAAAGGGGAGGGACAG